CTGCTGCTGCCGCCGCTGCTGTTGCAGGTCTGCCCGAGGGCGCCTCCGCCACCGGGCTCCGACTGCTGACGCCGCCTCCCCCGGACCTTGGGGCCGAATCGCCTGGGCTGGGCCTCCCAAGAGCCACAGTCATCTTCAGTCCCCAGCTAAGTTGCCGCCATCTTCGTCCTGGAGAAACACTTTTTTGGGGGGGAGCGCTGGCTTTTGCGTCATCTCCTCCCGCGCAGAGATCTCTCCATCCTGGCGCATTGGCACCGCTTCGGCCGGGCGGCGGCAGAGGGCGAGGACGCACGGGGCCGGGGGAGGGGATGGTGCGGCTGGGCCACTGGCCCCGCCTGGGCTTCTGAGCTCCAGAGCTTGCTCCTTCCTTTCCGTCCCCTGTCCTCACCTTTTGGCTTTTTCTTTCTGTTAGCACTGACAAAAGTCAGAATGCAGATGCATGACTGAGGATGCTAGCTCATTTCTTCCGCGTCTCCCACTGCCTCTCTGCCTCTGGAAAAAGTCCGAGTTGCAAGCGGTCGGTTCCAGGTTTCTCATGGGGAGAGGGTCAGGGTAGTGCTCTCTTAACTAAGTGATGATAGACTTCAAAGGAAAGGTTGGGGGAGTGGGGGGTAGGGAAGTAAACACGAACAGGCTAGAGGAGAGAGGAGGTGACATCTGGTTTCTTTGTATGGACCTCGGGATCCCTAAAACAAACTAGAGATCAACAACTACCAGTGAGTTACATTTTGTCAAGTGAGTTTAGAGCTTTATATGGAACGGATGGTGTGCATGTACAACTATATATGCCGCTGTATATGTTACAGCGACGTATTTCATATTCGAAAGTACAGGTTAGAAATGGCCACATATAGTCAGAAAAATACAGTAAAACCTGGGATATCAGGGGTCACCGCCTCGCCCTCGGCTTGGATTTCAACGTCTTGATTTCGGAGGATTCCTCCTCGGATCTGGAACATGAAAAGCTTCCTTAACCCCATTCCCCACCGAGTTAGGCTTTGCTGTCGCCCAAGACTTCCGCAGCAGCTGGCCATCGGCTGCCTGGGTGGCAGCGCTGAGTCCAAGCCTCTGGTGCCCCTTAGCGTTGGTTCTTGGAGTTCCAAGAGAGCAACAGACGCTCTGGGAAAGGGGTCCCACGCTCCCAGCTCATGCAGGTTGATGCTCTGAGCAAACATTAGTCTGGCTTTATCTGGGCACCCTGCCCACTCTATCCCTCACTCCCACCGGAGCTGTGGGAGCAGAGGCTGCGCCCGTGCCTGGACCCTTCGCACCGCCTTGTCCAGAGTCCTCTCTGTTGTTGATGATCAAGGAAAGCCGTTTGTTCTATCTCGTATTCACCGTATCCCGTCCCTGCTTTCTCATGACCCTCATACTCTGTTGGGTGCACATTCACATGGGCAGTGTTAGGGTGCCAGTGTTCTAAGTAAGTATATTGAGCAAACAAAGGAATAGATCATGATATTCATTTTCTAGAGACGCTATGGGTGTTGGGATGCCTGAGAAATGAGAATTTTTAAAATGTCAACATGCAAAACGTAATGGGCAGGATTCAACCAACTAGTTCTGTCCTCAGCATAATAAGGTGTATACTATATTTTACCCAGGTAAATTCTAAGTTCCTAAAAACTATATGCAGTGAAGATTAAAGCGTGGTGCAGTTGACCATTGATTGATCTGTCAGGTAATGTCTTAGAAAGAATATTTGTGTGCCTATATCATTCTGACTCTTCGGATTTCATTGTGCTGTTTTTTTTTAACTACATAAAAGATCCCAACATTTACAGATAAGCTGTCTATGACAATTTCATCCTTACATTAAAGCATCTTTAAGTAAGCAAAAATTGAGGTTTTGCTGAAATTTTTTTTAAAAATATTTTCAGTACTTAAGCTGGGGAGATAGTCTTTCAATTTTTTTTCTTTTTCTTAATTTTATTGTTGAAAGTATTACAGAAGTCCCCCTTTTTCCCCCAATGAGCCGCTCTACTCTGGTCCTGCTCCCTCTCCAGGCCTTCACCACCCTATTGTCTGTGTCCATGGGTTATACATATATGTATATAAGTTCTTTGTTTACTCTCTTCCCGCCCCCCTCTTCATTCTAAAATATCTCAGTTTGTTGCATGCTTCAGTGTCTCTGGATCTATTTTGTCATCAGTTTATTTTGTTCACTAGATTCTACATATAAGTGTGATCATGTGATACTTGTCTTTCTCTGACTGGCTTATTTCACATAGGATAATACTACCCACGTCTTTCCATGATGCCTCAAAAGGTTTTGATTAAATTATTTTGACATTGAGTAAAATACTCTTTCCTCAAACAGTGATGTGGATAAAGATATCCTTTGGAAAAAATCTATTAAAATTTTGGAAAACATTGTTTTTTTCTTCTACCCTCTTCTTGTGATTACTCTTTTCTTAAATTTAAAACTTCAACTTCTTCAACCAAATCAGATTTATATACAACATAAAGTCTGCTTGCAGACATAAGTGAGTATAAGGTCTGGCATTTTCCATTGTATAAATAAATACATGTAGAAGATAATATCAAAAGTCTGCATTTCTATTACTTTGTAGATTTTGCAGTACATAAAAATGAGCATATTATATTTTAAATCCTAAAATTATTCTTTCTCCCTTTTGTTTTGAACCTGTTGAACCTTTGTTATAAAGTATAGATGAAATGTAATAACCCAAAGCCTTTCTTCTTATAAACTCAGGGTGGGGATTTTTTTAATCTTAAAAAAATTAAGGAATTTTTCTTTCTTATCTCTGTTACCTATCTTTCTATCTTTAGCTCTATCTAGATTGTTATTTAATATCTACATTACAGGGTTTAATTTCATGCTTATTTCTCTTATCTGCCTCTTCATTTTTCTTCACCCTGTTTCTTCCTCATTTAAAGATGCTGCCTGAACAGGTTTGTATTTCTCTTGATCTCTCCTGAATAAGACAGAAAGCTGAGAAAAATCCTAAGCTAGGGAAGTCTACAAGATATCCCTGAGCTGGGATTCTCACACAGAAAGCTCCTAGGCAATCTAGAGTGATTAAATCAGAAAGCAGACTGGGAATAGGGAAAATAAAGAAATGAACAATATATATCACAAAGATAATCTTAGGACAGGTAGAATTTTAATATAAAAACGAAAAATTCACCAGAATACTTCTGTTAGCCCAAAGGGAGAAAGGTGAGCAAAGTAACTGAATACCTAAATAAGTAACCACTTCCTAAGTGTGCACCACCCCACCATCTCCCAACTGGCTTCCTTTGCATGCCGTGTGCCTCCAACCCAGGCAATATAAACTTTCAGCTCAAGTCAAACCTGTTCCTATTCACAGTGATGAATAAGTTCCTCTCCCAAGAATAAAAAGTAGCAAAAGTTCTGCTGAAATGAACTATCACATTTGTTCTTAAAATATATATTCTTTCTCCCAAGTCTAGTTTTTTACTAACACCCTTCCCCAACCCCACTACTTCAAGTTTTTACTCTTCTTCACATTCCATGACCACTAGTCTAGAGTTGTGCTCGCTGTTGAGTGCTGCTGCTATTGGCAGATAGATTCATTATGACCCCCCAGGGGGTGGTTTAAAGCTAAAAACCACCAGAGCTACTGATATCAAGCTAATTACAATTTCTCTTGACAGTGTTTCTCAGTATTGCCTCGATTGACATTTGGGGTCGATACTTCTTTGTTGTGGATGGCTGTCCTATATTGTATGAGG